TATATATATATATATATATATATATATTGTATATCCATACACTGAACAAAATTATAAACGTAACACTTTTGTTTTTGCCCCCATTTTTCATGAGCTGAACTCAAATATCTAAGACTTTTTCTATGTACACAAAGGCCTATTTCTCTCAAATATTGTTCACAAATGTGTCTAAATCTGTGTTAGTGAGCACTTCTCCTTTGCCGAGATAATCCATCCACCTCACAGGTGTGGCATATCAAGATGCTGATTAGACAGCATGATTATTTGTGCTGTGTGATAAAACTGCACATTTTAGAGTGGCCTTTTATTGTGGCCAGCCTAAGGCACACCTGTGCAATAATCATGCTGTCTAATCAGCATCTTGATATGCCACACCTGTGAGGTGGATGGATTATCTCGGCAAAGGAGAAGTGCTCACTAACACAGATTTAGACAGATTTGTGAGCAATATTTGAGAGAAATAGGCCTTTTGTGTACATAGAAAAAGTCTTAGATCTTTGAGTTCAGCTCATGACAAATGGGGGCAAAAACAAAAGTGTTGCGTTTATAATTTTGTTCAGTGTATATATACATATATATATATATAAGACAGCTCGCTGGAATACTTGATTCTGATTGGTCAGTATAGTTTTGCAAATGTTAAATTAAATAACTGACAGTTGTCACTGGACATGCTGTGCTAGTTACTTCTATCATTTATTTATTTTTAATGCGTGTACACTACCGTGTTTGTGGTTTATTTGTAAGGTCAAACTGATAAGAGATCAGACAAGGTGCTGAGAGATGGAGGTTGTTCTTTATACAGAGAAAAAAAGGAGCATGATATACAGAAACAAAACAATAAATCAGAAGCAGCTTTTCCTTCTTGAGGGTTGTCGCCTCTCAGATTAAAATGATTGCACAGGAGACTGTCTCATCACATCATCTATGGACTTGTTCCACTAACGTTTGACAACCAGATGCTTTTTGCCTTCATTTTGAACAGTATATCTATTTTTTTTATCATTTTGAATAAGCTTATTTTTGCAAAATGCTTGAAAACTGTCCTTGTGCATACCTTTCTTTAAAACAAATAACACTCAGTTTGAATACTTTATCGAATGTCATGCCATTTGTGTCATTTTGAAGTATCAAAATACTTTTTGAAACCACTGTAATGCTTCTTATGTTAAATAACAAAGGTTTGTGAATAAGGACTTGGTTTTGAATAGGGCTTGTTTCAGATGCTGCACATGTCTCCTTGTGAGGGCCCGTCTCAATGGAAAGCTTTCATGGTGCAACGATCCAAACAGTGAAAGAGATCCACTCCCCCCTCATCCAGCGCAGGGTTCAGGACCACGGAGAGCTCCTCTCTACTTGGCCTGTCTCCAGGCAACCATTAGAAATCCGGCGAACAGATGCAGATAAATGAACATTTTCCCTCGTGGCCAGAGCTACATCCCCTCTGTGCCTACCATCAATCAGCGAAAAATGAAAAATAGACGTCACTCTCTTGCATCTCTCTACTTTATTGGACAGATGCCCTTGCACGGGTACCGCATACATCTGAAGCAAGCAAACAAATGCTTAATTAAATGGGAATCAGAACCTGATTTCTCATAAAGCATGCTGTTTGGAGAAGTGAAGTTGGCTAGGCCATGTCTGAGTCATTTTGTGAGCCGATGTGCTTGACTATTTACCCCAGATCAGCATAAATAACAGGATTTCTGTAAGGAGATTCTTTCTGAAAAGGCTTCATGTTTTCTGCCAAATTTTATCCTCTTGTTTTGATCCAGTAACACCAGTCGCAAGAAGCTTTGTAAACATGACAAAATATCCTTGTTTATGTGCAGTATATTTGTTAAAGGAGTAGTTCAGCCAAAAATGAGTTTTTCTTCATTGGAACAGATTTGGAGAAATGTAGCTTTATATCACTTGCTCACCAATGTATCCTCTGCAGTGAATTGGTGCGGTCAGAATGAGAGTCCAAACAGCTATCCATAATCCACAAGTAATCCACACCACTCCAGACCATCAATTCATGTCTTGTGAAGTGAAAATCTGTGTTTGTAAGAAACAAATCCCTTATTAATTTTTTTTTAACTTGCTTCCAAGTTGAGTCCTCTATCCATAATATTGCTTTCTCCAGTGAAATGTCTCGTCTGAATCAGGAGAGCTATATGCACAAGCACCGTTTACAAGCGAAAACTGTCCAAACATATATGTTGGTGGATTTTGATGTGAGAGGACAACAGAGGGATCAACTTTTTCACTGGAGGAAGTGATATTATTGGATTATGGTCTAGTATTTTGGCCAGAGGCAATGGTTTAAAGTTTACACCCTTTGATGAATTTGTTTTATTACAAACACGCAGCTTTTCGCTTCACAAGATTTCAATTGATGGACTGGAGTGGTGTGGATTTGTTTGGACTCTCATTCTGACAGCACCCATTCACTGTAGAGGATCCATTGGTGGGCAAGTGATGCATAATTTTCACAGCTCAACTGTTACCACTATAAGCACAGTCTGTTCATATCTATCAGTGTGAAATTTCAGAGCTGCAGTATAAAATGTGACTGTAGCCATATCACATTTTTCTTAAAGCTGTTCTATGGCAGAGTTTCCCCTCTGAATTCCCTTGAATTGCAGCAAGGAGTGTTTTTGTGATTAATGCTGCAGACAGGTGTGCTGGGTTGTGTGGGTCAGATAGTTGAGATAAGTCTCACAGATGTTCTGTACTTTGTGCTATCGCTCAAGGATGATGGTTTGATAAAAAAAAAAAGATTTAATACATAAATTGATGCACCAAGGTCAAGTGCTTCAGCATTCCTTATCTTCCTATTCATCCCTTCCATTTCTTTTGCTGCAGCAGTGAAATTAATTTGTTTTAGTACAGGTTTTCATCTATAGTTCTTTGAAAGATATACACAGTGCACAAAATGGATAAACAGTGCACAAAATGGACTGAAATTAAACCACAAAAAGTATTTGAATAGGTAAGCCACACTTAAAAGAATAGTTCACCAAAAATGAAAATTTACTTAAATTTACTCACCCTCAAGCCATCCAAGATGTAGATGAGCTTGTTTCTTAATCGGAACAGATTTGGAGAAATTTAGCATTATATCACTTGCTCACCAATGGATCCTCTGCAGTGAATGGGTGCCGTCAGAATAAGAGTACAAACAGCTGATAAAAACATCACAATAATCCTCAAGTAATCTTGTGAAGTGAAAAGCTGCTTGTTTGTAAGAAACAATCATTAAGACGTTTTTAAATTCAAACCATTGGTTTTGGTTTTCTTCAATCCATAATGTTGCTTTATTCAGTCCTTTTTGGGTGAACTATTCCTTTAAAAATCTATGAATGTCATTGCATTAGTTACAAAACTAGTGTCATTTGTTTTACAAGATAGAAGAAAGCCCATGCTATTCAAGCAAAATATTTAGAATTATTTAAAACAGTATAACACAAATTCACTACACAGTTGCACCACATTACCTAACCTAGCACTGCACCATTAAAGGCTTGCTACTATCAGCAATTTGCATGCAATGAATTTTCAGAATGTTCAGTTCTAAAAAAAATTCTGTTTGCCTGCTATATGTGAATTGTCTTTGTAATGGACTGCATTTCTCATAGATGCCTTATTCTGTTGTTATTCAAGAAGTAGATTGCACAAAATCAGTTTTAGAGAACAGATATTTGGGAAAACAAAGTTCTGCTGTATTTTTAGAATACTGGATGTTTTTTTTTTGTGTGTGTGTGTGTGTGTGTGTGTGTTTTTGTGACAAATGAGGACATCAATTTGTATAATGACAAGGATATGACATAGGTATTACAAGGAGAGGGTGACTTTTCAGGACATTACCCCATGTCCCCACTTTTCAAAATGCATATAAATCACACAGAATGGAGTGTATTGAAAATCTGAAATAGCACAAAGTTTTTCACAAAAACAAACCTGAGTGTGTGTGTGTGTGTGTGTGTGTTTTACAATCCCAGGGCTCCAAAGTATTTGCTGAACATCAAACAGGCACCACATTGTTCTACCCACTACGCTCAAGTCGTTAAAGGCTGATTCAGAGAGAAGTTGCATGGATTCATTTGCCCGGCCGTGGTTTGAAAACCAAAACCGACAACCTCAGTATGCAATGAGAACTCATTACTACAGGTGTTTGATTCTGAATTCTTCTGTTTTTCTGCAGATATTAACATGGCCGGAGAGCCGAAGCCCTACAGGCCTAAAGCAGGATCCAAACGACCCCTGACTGCTGTCTATAGGTGAGTGTTTCCTATTAAATGCAGCTATATAGATAGAACAACATGGCACTGTACTTAACATACATAGCCTACAAATGTTTGCTCATTCTGACTGTGTGTTTTACTTCAGATAAAATACTGCATGTGTAAATGAAATCCTTTCGCTGTTCTTACTTTTGTTAGAGCTAAGGTAGAACGAATTAAAGTCTGGTTGGTGTGGCTGAGTGAAGCCGTCAGCACATTTGTCATATTATCAGTTTTAGATAACAGAACAGTCCACGGTCTGCGATTATCAGCACATTCGTTCAGTTGCTAAAGTTGCAGTTGTGTCTCGCAGGTTCGGTTAGATGGTTGAACTCTTATAGGAAGCGAAAAGCTCTCCAGACACATCAGTGAAAACTAACCAAGCAGAAAATGAGTGAAAAATCAGTGTTTGAAAGGGTATTAGGCATTTACTCCTTTATTGACAAGATTTTATAGGGATTCAGAACTTTTTGTAACAAACAATAAATACTAACTAATGCTAAATAAATAGTCACTGGACCGTGAAAAAATTACTGGATTAGCGCTGTTTATGTTTTTGTCCATAAATGTAACGGAAATGGCTTTTGCACTTAGCAAATAATAATAAAATAATTTAATTACATATGAGCCTGAAATAGTGTCTAACCGAGGACTTGAGCTTTTTTTTTTTTTGTGTGTTATATGATTGTATTTTACTTTAGCTAATTCTGGGTTTTTAATTCTTTATTTCTTGGTCTCATTATATTTTTGAGTCTTGATTTGCATTTCAAATCAACTAATTCAAACCAATCCATTACGTTGTCTGAGGTAGGCTTAATTAGGAGAGTAGAACCGGAGCAAACCAACAAAGAAGAGCTTTGAATGTTAATTAGTTTGGAATTAAATGGTCAAAGAAATGAGGAGATGCCCATAATGGAATATGAGTTAGATGACCCGAAATAGTTTCTATAGTTGAAAGGATATTCATAATATGCATGACATATATTAAAATACACAACTGCATTAAGTTTGACCTTTTTCGCATCCCTAATTGTTGTCCTGATGTTGTTGTTGTACACAATTAATTATTAGTGCATGTTATCCTCTAGAAAAGTAAAATAGAAAAACATAAATAAACAATCATATATTTATAAATTACCATTAACTTAGAGTAATAAACAAATTAAACCTTAAGAGTATTTAACCTATAATTATTTATAATATATATAATACATTTTATCAAATAAAAAAAATGTATATATTAAATACATTTTCATATTTTATATTTAATTATAAATATTTACTGATTTATTTTATTTTTTTAATATGGCAACACTTTAACACTTTATATTCGTTATATTTTATTTTATGAGCTGAAATAAAAAAAAAAATGTATTTTGATTTGTGAGTAATGTAACAGAGTGTGATGGAAGAGAGCTAAATGGTTATGTGTGTAAGCTAAGATGATGAAGACGAGGGGCAGGTTTAGGCCTCAGGTGTAAGGCATGATTTGACAGAAATGAATGTACATGTGTATAATGGCTGTGTTTGATCTGACAGAGATGGATGTATATGTGTATAATTACGTGTATGGTTTGACAGATATTAATGTATATGTGGATAAATGTGTATGTGTGGGGAATGTTGAGAAGATAGTATGGGGAGAAGGGGAAAACTTAGGCCTAAGTTGGTTCATGAATTTATTCATCGTATGTACAATATTCATAGATTTTATTCATGCAATAACCACCAGGGAGAGGCTATTCAAAATCTGCAAGTCTTCAAAGTCCCATGATATGTCAGGTATAGAGCTGTCTTGCGATTGTGATTGGTGCAAGTGATTTTAGATGCCTGGAAATTTGGTGGATAAAACGCCTAAGAATAGATAATATGTGCACTGTGCAGTGATTCTCATGAGAGACTCAGCTTGTTTTTATTTGAATGATTTACAATAAATAACACTGGAGAGCATGCCATCTTCTGTTTGACCTGCCAGGATGCTCAGCCAGCCTATAGCACAAAAAAAATGCCGTAAAAAGCAAATATGTAAGATTCAACACTATTTCTGGCTAATCAAATACGCTTTTCATATGATCTCCTTTCTGACATTCTGAAGCACAAGATGCTCTTCGTAACAGTTTCAAATCATACTACAGAACTTGATTATTAGATTTTATTCATGTTGGTTCCAGTGCTGCTGTTTTTAAAGCAAAAGACAGACAGAGTGCTTCATATTCATTTTCAGTTCAACTTATGGCTCAAATTGTCAAGCTGAAAATATAAGCTCTAAAATAATTCTAAATAGCGTTTTCATTCATTTTCTATTGCACTCCACTGTACATGAAATAAAAATGACTGAAGACGCATCCCTGTTGCTTACCTTGTCAGTTGACATTATAAGTCTTCTGAAGAGATGTTTGGTGCTGCTGGTGCTCTAAAGGGTTCACACAAAGTTTACTGGTTGAAATCCAAGTAGGGGTCACACACAAACTGGAGCGTGTCTGTCTCACTGTCAGGACCTAAAACAAGCCCAAGTCTAACTCTGGGAGGTTTCTCACTAGTGTTGGGCGATATGCTCAATTTTCATATCGTCCTATCGTCAGCCTGTGAGATCGCCGATACACGATATTATCGTGCTAATTTATGTAATTATTTACTTAGTTTCATTGCGGGAAAGTGAACCAGCATCATCACAAGCTCTGTCTAGCGCGTTATGCACTTTAAAAACATTCCCGTTGAACTCAGTGAATCTACACTATATGATGAATAAATCTCTTATACTTACATCGCACGCAGATCTGCACTTTGTTGTTTATAATGAGAGAATTCGCGAGTCAGCATTCAGTCAGCGCGCGCTGAACAACGGAACTCCGCTGTTTCAGTGATGACTCATCTGAACGCCTCTGATTGGCCATTGCATTCATAAGCTCAGCATATTCGTGTGTGATTGGTTAAAACGCGCAATACTGTAAAAACGCGGAAAAATAAATCAATAATGCAACCAATAAGCCCTAATATTAATTAGATCGTCGATACACGATACTATCGTCTATCGGCACAACCCTATTTCTCACTGTAATTAATAAACGAAGCCGTTTGCTTGATTGCTGCTGTAACTGACGAGAAACTGTGTTTATGGGAGCTCTGCATGCTGTCTGCAGGCTGAAGATATTATTGATTTGTCTGTCAACAGGATGTTGAAATAACGCATTGATGGATGGGATTGTTGTCAGATTATTTGAGTCGCACATGTTTGATTAGTTTCTATACACATTTAAATCTCAGGTAAACATTGATCAGTGTTCAAAGTGTAAAATCTTCCTGTCAGATCAATTGAGCTGTAAATATAAGTCTAAATCAAAGGGCTAATTTGCCCTCCATCACATCCTGACATAGCAAATTGCACTTTACACTGTGCCTTTGTTTTGTCTTTTTCAGTGGTTATGAATTTGATTATGATTACTACAGGGATGATTTCTACAATAGGTATGTATGCATTTATTTACCATTAATCTGATTGCACACATTTTGAAAGACTTGAGTCCTTCAGCAGTTGTTTGTGCATTATCTTTCCTGGTTTCAAATAGCATGTATTATTTTAAGCTTTTTTTTAAAGCAAATATCATCGTGTATATATATATATATATATATATATATACACAGTGGGGAAAAAAAGTATTTAGTCAGCCACCAATTGTGCAAGTTCTCCCACTTAAAAAGATGAGAGAGGCCTGTAATTTTCATCATAGGTATACCTCAACTATGAGAGACAAAATGAGAAAAATATATATGTTTTTTTTGGTGAAAAGACGCGTACAAATATATGAAAGTAATTAAATATGACATCAACGGGAAATCAATAATTTTATTTATCTTAAACACCTACAGTTTGTCCTTGAAAATAATTGAAGAGAAAGCAGATAAAAACTTATAAGCTAAATGGAGCTCGTCTTTAATTTCTAAAAAGCCCTGTTTTATTTCACTCATTTCCTTCTTTTGATCTGCTGGGTGGAGAGCTGTGAATATCCTTGAGAGATTGATGCGAGAGCAAGGGCATGTGCCTTTGTTTGACATTTTCTTGTACCTCCTTTCTTTTCTTTAAATTCTTTTGAAAAATTCGCCTGCCATGATGATGAATTTCAAAAGTAGCTCCGCTAATTGCAAGGAAACCAGAAACCAGGAGTCAGAAATGTTTTCGGGGGTGAAAAACCTTTAGAAAGCCATATCATTCAGAATCAAAAGCCTGGTTTTGAGTGTTAATGATGTTATGATGCCTGATTTAAACTCTGCACATCTTCTTTGGTTCTTTTATCTGGTTAGGCTCTTTGACTATCACGGACGGGTGGCTCCTCCTCCGAGGCCAGTGATTCCTCTGAAGCGTTCACGAGTGGTGCTTCCATCCACTCGACGCGGGAAGAGTTCATTCCCTATTAAAACCTCATCCTCTTCTTCCTCAAGACCCCCATCATCATCATCGTCCTTCTCCTTTGGGCTGAAATGTAAGCCATAATAAATATCACACAAGCGTCTAAATATGAAGACGACCTAAAATTCACTACATTATATAACAGCTACAAGTTAGGTGTAATTTTTTAGCTTACAATTTCACATAATAACTGGCTGTCTATAGAATAGAATATATAACTGCAATTTATTTCATTATTTTATTTAGTAAACACTTTAGATCCTTTTTAAGGAAAGAAAGAAAAAATATGTCATTTTTCAGTACTTTCTGTGCATTTATTTTTGGAGTGCAAATATATGATGGCTCGATTTCTCGCAGACATGTTGCAGCTCTCTCTTCACAATAGTACACTCTGTCCTGTTCTCCTCTCAGCCTGTCTGAAAGCACAGAAACCAATATCACAGTACATGCAGTTATAAACAAACACTATTTCAGGCTAACTACAGAAACAAGATATTCTGTTTTCTCAAACTGCACTAAAAAGCACAGAACAAATCTGCAATAATTAAATAATATAATAACTGTCCAATACTTTATGGACTTGATTGTACATGTATGCAAATATATATTTATATTGTTGGATATACAGTGGGTACGGAAAGTATTCAGACCCCCTTAAATTTTTCACTCTTTGTTATATTGCATGCATTTGCTAAAATCATTTAAGTTAATTTTTTTTCCTCATTAATGTACACACAGCACCCCATAATAATATATTAATATTAATGTACAATTAATATTATGTATTATCAACTGCCTGATTTTTTTTTACAAAATGTAAGTATATTATCGCATAGCTCTTTATATAAAGTTGAGTATGTAAGTATGTCCAGCTTTGTCTGCATACATACTGTATACTCATACTCACGTAAAGCAATATATTCTATATAGCAAATCTCAGCTGCCTGATTGTTTTTTTGTTTTTTTTTTTGCAAATGTAACTATTTTCGCTTAGTTCTTTATATAAATTTGGATTTATAAGTGTGTCCAAATTTATCCATATAAATACTAGGGATGCACCAAAATGAAAATTCTGGGCCGAAATCGAAACCGAAAATTCTGGATGCATTTGGCCGAAATCCAAAAATGCTTTTTAATAATTATTTATTATTTTATTAAGTAATATTAAATAATTTTGTAAGACTTTTTAATTTAACTCAATAATTTGAATGATACTTAATTTAAAAAAAGCTAATAAATAAGCCAAATTGTTATGGAAAGTAAAACAATAAAATTGGACAGAAATTATATCACTATTACATATTAATATATTATTTTTATTCAATTCTGTGCAACAGAATCAGATTTAACAGATTTTTTTTTTTTTGGACTAATTATCCAAATAATGTATATTCCTACAAAGTTATTATTATCACAGCATCTGAGCAGAGCATAGCTGGGAGCAGATCAGTGAATGAGAGGGTAGCGTCATTTTACCAGTGTTGCCCAGTACAGCTGTACTAGGATTTTCGGAGGTCAAAATTTCGGTGCATCCCTAAAACATACAGTATACTAGCGTAGGGTGATATTCACTAATATAGCAAATCTCAACTGCTTGATTGCTTGTATCGCAAAATGAAAACTTTATTACCGCCCTGCTCTAATCTGCTAAATGCAACTATAAGACATGAAGGTATTAAAATTCTATAAACATTAACATCATGAAAATCTGTAAAGCTGCTGTGAAACCATGTGAAAAGCGCTATACAAATAAATTTGACTTGCCTTGCCTGAAGATTGCAAATGCAACTTGACTTAGTATTTTGGTGTGTCAAGCAATGACATTCATGCAATGTCATGCAAAAAGACATTAATAATGCAGTGCATGTTGCAGGAATCGCTCCCACAGATCCACAATGCACTTTACACCATTAAATCACTGAACTCTGGCATTGACAGTCTGTGGCACACTGTATGAAGTCCACGAGCTTTATTCCTCACTGCCAACTGCTGGTTTATTGTCTGGCACAGGCGAAACATGTCAGTCAGTAGCTCTCTCTTACAGTTTACACGGTGTGAAAACAAGACTTTTTATATTTCATGGGAGCAAAAAATCAAGAACATATTGATTTTTGTAACCACAGAGCATTCTGAGACCGAGACTTACGGCCGTCTGATATGCTTCTTTAATTCTATGGATGCGAGCCAAACGGCAAGATAGAATGTCATGCGGTTGTGTTTGTAAATTAGAATTCATAACACTAATTCAGATTTGATCTCTAACCCACAAGTAGCAGCTTTCACAGCATCTGTCAGCATCCCGCCGTCTCCTCCAAGCGTGGAGCTCAGAAGTCGAGATTAGCCGTGGTGCATGACACTAATGCTCTTAGCTGTGGTGCTGTGGCCTCTCTGGGGGCTTTTCTTATATCAGTGCAATTCATGAGCAAAAATATCCATGGCATGTACACAAAAGTGCTACTGTTTACCTTAATCTGCATTTCATTGGAGTTCTCCCTTCTCTTCACAGCGCAAACTGGAGATTAGCTTTATACTACACCAAAATAGCATTTAATTTGGCTCGAAAAGTTTACTTTGGCTGTTTTTCTCAAAACTGCTTCATGTTTTCCTGATGAAAATGCAGTTGTTCTCCGTTTAAGATAAGAATTGTGATGTTTTTTCATTGACACCAGAAAATACTGATTGCTATGTAGTAGAGGAGATGTGAAAACACACAACTACTGCCATTTTTGTCCCAAATAGAGGTCAGCCATAAACTAGAGTGACATGAATAGCAAAACCTGTTTTATTTGCCTCTGTCTGTGAAATAATATTGGGAATTTGACTTGCGCTGTGACATGCTGTACTGCAACCTCAATATTTTAAACAGGATTTTGCTAATTCTATTATGCATGAAGCTTTTGTGGGCTCATATTAATGCCATGAGCCTGCATGAATATTTGGACTGTTTAATTTGTCACACTATAAGGACCATTTAAACTGAAGTGCTAGCAAAAAGGTAATTCAAAATAATGAAAAACCAGGTACAGGACCAAGGTATGCTCACCAAGACTGCATTTATTTGATCAAATGTACAGTAAAAAAAACAGTAATATTGTGAAATTATTACAATTTAAAATTACTGTTTTCTACGTTAATATATTTTAGAATGTCACTCATTCCTGTGATGCAAAGCTGAATTTTCAGCACCATTACTCCAGTCTTTTCTTATTATTATCAATGTTGAAAACAGTTACTTAATGTTTCTTGATATCTTAATACTTAATATTCTTAATGAAAAGAACAACATTTATTTTAATCAATTTAATTTTTAATCAAATTCATTTAGATCAATTTAATGCATCCCTGCTGAATGAAAGAATTGATTTCTTTAAAAAAAAAATAATAATAACAATAAAAAAATAACATTTAAAACACATGGGACAACTTACCCCAACCTGGCCTATATAGAAAAATAGTTTTGTTCTGAAAACACAATTTAAACTCTTGGTTAAAATCTGCCTTCTTTATATAGTTGACTTTTCTTCTGAATATATGGTGGTGGTGTTTCATTGTGTTCACTTATTTACTTGTTCACTTATTCTACACGGAGATATGATATTATGGTGTTGCAATCTAGTTAAAGGGCAGAATTCTCAAAAATTGCTATAATTAAGAGGGCTTAGAAGTCAAGACCTTACAGTTACTGAGATATAGCTTGTGACAACTAGCCCCAGTCTCCTCTAGACTTTCCATTACATTTTAATCTAGAATCTTGATCTTGGAAAACAACACGTTGTGCGTCATAATCCGCAGCATTTCATGCACCGCACGTCACACATCCTCGAAAAAATTCACAAGTAAACAGTTTAAAACAAGTGATAAAAGAGAAAGTTTTACCAGCCGTTGTCATCAAATTGATGCTCAGCTATAGTGTTTTGTAGGTTGCCCAGATTACAACTCCTTCAGAATTCACGTTTCAAAGCTCGAAGGCAATTTTTGGACATGTGTTGTATTTGGAGCTTTGGAGCAATTTGAATGGTTGCACACAGACACGTTCATTGAATTGCAGTAGATACGACGCTCTGTCACCTAAACACCTACACACACAGAGCTTTCTGCCTCGGGCGGGTGATGGCAGGTGACACTATTTTGTGAGGTAGTGGAAAAGCTGGCAGCGGTGTGACAGCAGTGCTGGGTCACGCTGTGTTATCAGGGCTGAAGGCAGTGACAGCAAAACCACAAGCTTCAGCTTTCTCAAGGAGAGGAACGGCTCGAAAAATGCTGGAAAATACAAACTAATGAATTTTTCTACAAAGCATTTATATGTATCCTGGAGCTCCAATTATGAAGAAGCAGGTTTTTCCGTGTCAAGAAGTGCTGCTAAAGGTTTTTCATAGAGGTCCATTCAGCCCACACTGCATTGTCTAATAATTGTCTAGTGTCATTCAGTATATTAAAGCAGTAACTTGGATTTTAGAAACAAAAATGCCAGGTACTTTTGTTTTTGCATCAGTGAAAATAGTTCCTGAATGATTCATTGTTTTGTGAATTATTAAATAACTCATTCATAAAGTCACTTGTTGTGTTCCTGAATGAATTAGCTTTTTCAAACAAATTCGCTTGAATGAATGATTCAATGATTCACTCATAAAGTCTGTTGTTTTGTTCATGTATGAATAAACTTGTTTAAGCAGATTGGTTAAATTAATGTATTTAATAAATTAATGTAAATTAATAAAGTTGGTTTGTTTATGAATTAATAAAAGTATTTAAATGGATCCATTAAATGAGTGATTCAAGGGCTCATTCATAAAGAAGTTTAGTTCCTGCATGAATTGGTATTTTTGAACAAATTGGTTGAATGAACCATTCAGTGAATCATAAAGACTGTTATTTCACAAATTAATTAGCTTTTTTTTTTTGAACAAATTGCTTGAATGATTCAATGACTGTTTCGTTTTGGAATGAAACAGAATGTTTTTGAATAGATCGATTAAATGATTCAAATGCTTAATCATAAAAACAGTCACTTGAGTTTTTGAATGAATCTCTAGAATGAAAAATTAATTAATCCATCGAATGAATGCTTCGAGGAGCTACTTGTTTAGTTCCTGCATGAATTAGTATTTTTGAACAAATTGGTTGAATGAACCATTCAGTGACTCATATGAAGATAGTATGTTATTTCACAAATGAATTAGCATTTTTAAACAAATTGCTTGAAGGAATGATTCAATGACTCATTCAGAAAAAAAGTGTTGTTTCGTTTCTGAATGCTTTTGAACAGATCAGCTGAATGATTCAATTACTAAATCATAAAGACAGTCGCTTGTTTAGTTCCTGCATGAATGAATTGTTTTTTAACTAATCTGTTGAAAGAAAGATTATTCTTAAATTCAGTCTCATTCTCGACTCATTCAGTCTGTTGTTTAGTTAACAAATAATTCAAAGTTTTTGAATGGATCGGTTAATTTAATTATTCAATGTTTTGCTCCTGAATTAATTTGTGTTTTTGAATGAATCGGTTGAACGAATAAGTCAGTGACACTCTTAAAAACAATTTTTTTGTTTGCAAATCAGTCAGCATTTTTGAATGAATCATTTGAATGAATGATTCCTTGACTCACTAGCCACCATCTATTAGCGTAACAAAGAGTCATACAAACACCGATCTACATAATGTGATGTTTTGTGATTTCAAACCACATGAAAGCTGGACATTCCACCTACATGTGTCTGAAGTTACACTAAGTAATTCTGAAAGATGTCTAGAACCATTTCCATATTTTTAAACTGATCCAGTGTTGGCCTATTTGGGTTTTCATTTATGACCAAGGTCATTCTGGCCTGCCCAGAGAGGCCTGCTGATTATTAGATTCAGTGCATGCATTCAATAGTGTAGTCATCTGAAGGAGATTAATCTGACAGCTGTCAGATAAAAAAATGCAGTGGACCTATTTAAAGCACTGAATATACACAGAAATTAGCAGCATGAATTAAGCCAGCAGGCATTGAGCAGAGATTTTTCATCTCGTGTGATGTAGTGGATTCATCGGGAGGAGAGTCTTTCAGTGTGACCAGTGGTTAAATGTCTCAATGGTCACAATGCAGGATTTTCAACTACCTAGTTCTTCTTTGGGACTGAACTACAACTTAAGTGGTAGCAGACCGGATCTATACCCAGGTTACAACTGAAGACAAACATCTACACTGTAAAAAATGATTTCTCAAAGTTGTAAATAAAGCAGATGATCAGAGTATGTTTTATTGCATTATTTGTTTTCAAACTAGAGCTTTGATCATAAAACTAAGCATTTAAATATCATAATAGTAAGACATTATTAGGAGATATAGATTTTTATGACAGTTGTCTGTTACTTTTGTAAAGATCACATTGATAAATAAAAGAAACCAAGAATTAAATGTGACATTTTGAAATTCAGAAAGACTGAAATAATATTTTCTTTCTCATTAAACATTCTCCAATCAACTTTATTTATTTACAACTCTGAAAAATATTTTTTTTTACAGTGTACTTTTTGGCCATATAAATATCAGCAACTGCACCAAATTGCATATTTTTGCTCAGTTTGTATCATACTATATGTGCCATAAAAACCTGGTGTATTAAATATTATACTCAAAAAAAAAAACATGCATTTTTAAAAAATGTGTTTCTAAAAGTTCAGTAAACCTGTTCAGTTTAAAAAAACTAAATTATTCTGACTATTATTTAATATGTCAGGCTTTAAAGGATTAATGCATCATATTTGCATATAATATTCTGCCTCATATTCCATGGAAGAAAGAAAGTCTAACGGGTTTTGAATGACAAATTTGAAGCATTTTTGAATGACAGCTTTTTCATTTTTCGGTGAAAAAGATCTAATTTTGCTCTTATGCAAATAAGTAATGACTGATATTTGTGATATAAAGCATAATCGTCATAATATCTCTGTGTCATGCCTTTAGAGCCTCACAGGAAATATGAGGACAACTGCGACTCTTTGCACGAGGGGTCGATATCAGAGACGGCAGACAACTCCGGAGAGGAGGGAGGGGAAGGACAGCTGGACGCGGAGGCGGGAGAAATGACGGATGGTGGCGAGGATGACTACGACGAGGAAGGCAGCACTGATCTGGTACGCTGGCCCCCCGCGGGCCTTACTGGCAGCAGTGACTCTGAAAAGCCCAGTTGAAGCTAATTCTGCAGATTTATTCACGGTTGCAGACATGAGAGACGCAGGGCTGGGAGAGCAGAAGCTGACAGGGTTCCGCTGGGCTGCTTCCTGCTCTCTTAACCCTGACCTGTCACGCTTCGTAATTAAAACCGGGTCAGAACCTCTGGAGACACTGGGGTCCACGACCAACAGCAAATTAAGATTTAGGATGTGCTTCCCATTGAGGAGACAGGCTGACTGTATTTTAATGAGCTCCTACATTTCTTAAACTGGAGGGAAACGTCAAGGCGAAATCCCGCTGGAAAGATTCCCAACAGCATGTTACGGACATTTCAGGTCAGAGCGTGACCTCCAACACAGCTGGGTTTAGCAGATACCCAAGCAATACAAATAAAAATTGGCTAGACTTTTTAAAAGAAACTGTAGAGAAGTGATTTTGGAGCCTGAATATGTTTGTCTAAAAAGGAACTTGAGGTCACAGGATTGTTTATATAGTATGTTGAATGTGAATATTGAACGAGTAAATCTCAAGGTCTTTTGAGATCCTGAGCTGCTCTTTCTCAGTAGATGAAGATGACCTTGACTATCAGTATACATCTGCTTTGCAGCTTTAGTTAATATTCATTCGATACTAAGTTAGATACTGTACCTCTATTAGATGAAAATGTTTGTGATTTCTGGGCATAAAATGGATAATTCTATGCACTAAAAAGCCATAATTAAATGGGTCTAAACTGCAAATTATCAGAACGTATCAAAAACATTAGTCTTTTCACTGTAATGTCATCTGTGGAGAAATAGTTCCTGTTCTAAACAATTACTTGCTAATTCTTTATTTTTTCTTATTTATACATATTAATTTTCATTCTAAAAATACAGTATATGTGCTCAAAAGTTTGGGATTGGTAAGATTTTAAAAGAAGTTTCTCATGTTCAAAAAGGCTGTATCTAATTGATCAAAAATACAGTAAAAGCAGTAATATTGTGAAATATTATTACAACTTAAAATGACTGTTTTCTATTGTAATATATTGTAAAATGTAATTTATTCCTGTGAAGACCATGCTGATTTTCAGCATCATTACTCCAGTCTTCATTCAATCATTCAATATGCTGATTTGCTGCTCAAGAAACATTTCTTATTATTATCACAGTTGAAAACAGTTGTGCTGCTTAAACAGTTCAAAAGAATAGAATTTATTTCAATTAGAAATCTTTTGTAACATTATACATGTCTTTACTGCACATATTTCTTTATTTATATTCTGGTATGGTTATGTGAGACAAACTGCTCATAGCATTTTATTCAAATTGGTTCCATAAAAGTGCATTTCTGATTTGAGAGTTCAGATTTTGCTGAGCTATTCTGTATTCCGAAAATGATTTTCGTTTTTATTCGTGTTTCAGATGGAGAATCATGCGTCTGATATTGACAACTGAAGGTACGTTGATTCTATTCTCTGTATTTTATTTATTTATGTAAATGATTTTATACAGTTTATATTCATAATGCATTTATTCACTGAATCATTTTCACGGTCATTTAATGAATTATATTGATGATAGAATGCAATAAGTGCAGTACAGTCTTGTTTTTAGAGTTCTGCATCCAGAGATGAAATCAACTCTGCACTGAACAGAAGACATGAAACTCTGTGAAGACAGACGTCTCTTCTTAAAGAGGGCATGAAGGCTCACGATTGGCTGATCAGACGTAGAGCAAATATTTTGACAAGTTTAGCATCTGCTAGTCACTTTCACTGTTTTTCATTTAATAGCGTCTGGCACATTCAATCATATATGATTTGCATATCTCCTGTAAAAGGCAAGTAAGTTCACATTTAATTTTGAAATTCATCATGCAAACACTAAAGTTCGTTTTTTTCCCCATAAGGATAATTTTCCTTAAGCAAAGATGAAAGGTTTTTACAGTCTGTGTGGAAAATGAGCCTTAAATGTCAGAAAAATGTAACATGGCATTTTTGAAACCTTCAGTATTAACAGAGAATTTATCGAAATAATTCTAGAATTTTAAAGATTTTAAAATATGAGGTCTGACAATGAACATGTTTCATTAGAAGCCAAACCTTGTTTGTGTTCTGTTTGTTTTTGAGTTCTTGCGTCTGGATTCCCTATTTTCTCAAAGTATGTTTTCTGTGTAAAATCTGATTGTGATTAAAATGCATATCATGTTTTGATTCCCAGACTAAATCAATTAAAATAACTAGTTAAGTACTTGGTTTAATGAAAGAATTTCAGCTCCGTACTGCCACATCAGTTTCATCAGACTCCTTATACTTACACACAGACCGCTGTAACTCTAAAAAATGAATTATGTCTTATGTGTCATAATTTGTAATGATACTGTAAAGATGATATTGTACGTACATTGTCACTGTATTTTGTTTTTATCATGCATAGCTGTGTGTAAATCAGAGCGACATGTAGTAGTCACTGTTTCTGTTCTCTATGATGTCATTCAGTATGGAGTGTGTCATAATGAACTCTATTTTTGTATGGCAGATTTACAGAAAAAGCTTCAGAATATTCGTATTTGTTCTGCTGACATTTTCATTCTGCTACTGTACATAATTTGTTGGTTTAAATGAGAATGTGGAAAGATGTGTATAGCTTAAAAAGAAGAAAAAGATTGATGGAAAATGGATCTATTGGAAAAATGTGATTATTCTTTTCTATATTTTGAAATCAGTGTCATGTTTGAGAGAAAAACAATTCTATATGGTTTAGGTCGCTGGTCTCATAACAGCTCAGCTCAGAGACCTAGTAATATGAGTGAATTACTTCATATTGTATAGAAATGTAAACTATTGTAAATATATTTTTATGATTGGCATGTTAAGTATTTTCAGTTGTTTCATTTGTTATCTGGCTATAGGTTTTGTGGTTTAGGAAAAGACTGCCATTACAATCACTATATAAAATTTGTGAAAAATACAAATGTTTTTTCTATGTTCATTGTGGAGCAGAACCGAATGCGATAATTCAAATTCAGCCTTAATGCATTGGTTTTAAAGGAATGGTTCAACGAAATTTGAAAATGAAAATTTACCAAGATGTAAATGAGTTTGTAAATTAATTGGGAGAAATTTTGCATTACATGACTTGCTCACCAGTGGATCCTCTGCAGTGAATGGGTGCCGTCAGAATCAGAGGCAAACAGCTTATAAAAACACCACAATAATCCACAAGTAACCCACATGACTCCAGCCTGTCAATTAATATCTTGAAGCAAAAAGCTACATGTTTGTAATAAAATCCATCAAGGCATTTTAACTTTAAACCGTTGCTTCCAGCTAAAATACGATAATAGTCCATAATCCATACCATTTCCTCTAGTGAAAAAGTCCATCCCCTGTTTGTCCTCTCACATTAAAATCCACCGACAAATTTGTTTAGAACGGTTTTCGCTTGTAAACAGTGCTTGATCTATGCAAATTTCTCTCCTGATTCAGAGGAGACAACTTTTTCACTGGAGAAAGCAATATTTTTCATAGAAGATTGAACGGTTTGAAGTTAAAAATTACTGTGATGTTTTTTAGACTCTCATTCTGACGGCACCCATTCACTGCAGAGGATCCATTGGTGAGCAAGTGATCTAATGCTAAATTTCTCCAAATGTGTTCTGATGAAGAAACAAACTCATCTACATCTTGGATGGCCTGAGGGTGAGTATTTCAACATATTTTCAGTTTTTGGGTGAACTATTTCTTCAAGAATAAAAGAAAAACATTTCTTGGTGGTCATAAGGCTATTCGCATGGCAGAAATAATTTGGCTGTGTTTCATTCAAACACTAGAATAATTATTAAATATGAAATATTACAGTTTGCCTTAAAATGCCACTTTTGAGTAACATTAAGCCTATAGAATAGTCTTAACTGCAGACAGAGAAAGCTGGCACTGGTCTTGTGTGTATGTGAGGTTGGTGGGGGAGGGATCGTAGCACCTGTCGTGGTTTTGGATGCACCTGAGTGCAGCTGTAGCAGATGGTGAATCAAACACACTCAATTTATCAACATCAAAACCAAATGTTTGGGTTAATTAGGGTCACTGGCTACTTCACATGGAATCAGTTCATTGTATTAACTTCTTCTCGATCTCATTTTCAGCAATATTCATGAGACAATTACCACTAAAATGAAAGAAGCTGTTTAGAAAGCAGTAATTTGATTGATTAATTATATTAATATAAATGGAGAAAATGACCAAATAACCATTATGTTGTAATACTGACTTATGCGTATTTGACAGCCATATTTGCAGACAAATCTCAAGAGCGAAAAAAAGGATAGCAACATTTTTATACGCAATGACTTCATCTTTCATATCATAAACAAGATCACAACGACATCGCATGGCATTTGTTGTTTACAAAATACGTTTCAGAATCCAATTATCGTGATTTTATACATGGATGCATTATGAAAGAGGGAAAACATTTGCATTTGGATGGATTCCATTCACATTACTATTCCCAAATAAGACTGAAAACAGTTATACAGGTTTCAAATTTCATATCGCCTTAAACTGATAGGAATTCGCCAAATAGTCACATTTTTTCATTACTCAGTTTTGGCCTAATTTATTTTACAGTCAGCTTTGTACTATATCCTCCTGCAAAAAAATAAAAATAAAGGAAAAGAAAAGAAAAGAAAAATAAGGAATGCAATATCCAATTTCATATCCAAAAGTTAAAGTGGTTTTGCAGCATTATAAATACTCATCTCCCTGCTCACTGCACAAATCTTCATTAACATTTATATTATATTAGCTCAGGGCTGGATATGCACTTTTTTTCTATAGGCCTTATTTGAAAAATATTCAAATGAAGTTGGTTGTTATGACAACAATCTGTGCAAAGTTTTCTAATGACTCGCACTGCCATGTAAAAAATAAATAAATAATAGGTTTTGAGAGGTAATGAGCAATTACTTAACTTAAATTACCTTTGCACACTCGATAGCAGGTTAGGCATGATATCATGACAAATAAGGGACAGATAAACAAGTCAAGGTCATCTCCTGATGTGAAACAGATTTCATTGTGAAAAATAAAATAAATAGTTTGAAGACAGATGAATTCTTCAGAAATGTATGGTTCAAGGGTAACTTAATCTCTGGAAAAAAAAAATAGATGTACAAACAACTTTCACTCAGAAATTGCTGTTAAGTTTTACAATAACATTTAAATGTGGAATTTTGAAGTAAAAAAACTGAAATAGTATTTTCTTGTAAAATGTACTCCAATAATCGGTTTTATTTACAACTTAAAAAATGATTTTTTAAAGTGTAACACTTCACAGTAAGGTCATTATTTACCGTTAGTTAATGCTCATGAAATACATTTGTTACAGTATTTTTTAATCTCTGTTAACTTTTACTATAACTTTTTATTTTGATAAAGTACACTGTAAAAACGATTTCAAAGTTGTAAATACAACAGATTATTAGAGTGTTTTACAAGAAAATACTATTTCAGTCTTTCTACTTCATAATATAATGTTTAATTCAATGTTACTTACCGTTTCTTTGTAATTATTTGTGAAACATAGCAATTTCTGAGTGAAAATTTTCTACACCATTTTTTTCAGTGTATTAGTAAATGTTGAAATTAACATTATACTATTAATAAATGCTTCAGATTATTTTTTCGTTGTTAAGTTTGTTGACTAATGTAATTAACTAATTTGCCTGCTGTCATGTTTACTTGATGTAATATTGTAAAAAGTGACATTTTTGAGTTTGCAGAAAGGTATATAAAATTATTAATATTAACAAACGGAACCTTTAAAGTTCCATTAAAGTGAACTGAGGTTGCATTTACAGTAAGTTAAAGTGAACTGGGACTGTATTTTAAGGCCAAAGAAAGCACTGATGTCTTGTTAGACCATGCATCGCTTTCATTTTTAAGTCTTGCCACTCACCAGCTAAATCTCCATTCATTTAGATTTATTAATGCAACTCTAAGTCATTAAGAGTCTTCAGGCTGAGTAGTTTAATTACTATCGTCTGAGGAACAAAAGCTGTTGACCCAGCTGTTCAAAAGCTCAGGTGGAAAGAATAGAACATTTTTTTAGGATTGAGTGCAGATTCTGAGAGAAAATTGCGTATTGATTTCCTTCAACACTGTTGAAGTGGGAAAGGCTTCCATGTCCTCATCAGCTCCTGACGTCTGGGGTTCGTATGTTCCTTGAGTTTTGATTGAATGGACTAAACTGCTTCTGATAGGCAATGACTTGAAGAGGTCACGGGCCAGAAGCGCTCAATAATTATTATCTGCTATGATTTGAGATTTATGAGTTTCAGACATTGCAAATGTGTGCTATCTATCCTCCATTTTTGGGCATCTGGCCCTCGTACACTCAAAAAATAAAAGAAAATTAAAAAAAAATATATATAATAATTATAATCCTGACGAACCTTTTAAATAATAATAATAATATAAAAAACACTAACTAAAAGTTTTTTTTATAAAAAAAAAAAAACTGTTTAAATTATCTTTGTATAAATAGTTTTAATTTGACAAAGAATAAAAATAATTAAAGCAACCGTAGTTACCAAATGGTATAGCCTATTTTAAATCCTATGAATTTTGTTTTGTAAAAGCTCATATTTTTAACAGATTAACTGAATTTCTAATAAATATATACACCATTTTAAAAATATTCAGTTCAGTTTGATGGAAATTTGTCATACAATTAATGTCTTAATATTATAAATAATTTGTCATTTGTCTTGACCCCCTCAAAGAAATCATAAAAGGATGTATGAAGTCATAACAATTACATGTACAAAGCCTTTCATTTTAGAAATTTAAATTGAAATGAAATATAATTAGGAAGGAAGTTTCATTTTGTAATGTTTAACTAACCACAAATGTTAGATTAGACAAAAACATAACCGTTAGATTAGACAAAATTAGACAAAACATAACAGAAACTTATCTAAATCCCAACCAGTATTCATCTAATTTCTCTTAGGGAAAAACAAACAAATAAGAGTGAGTGAGTGTTAAATAAGTGTTATTTAATGTAAAAAAAAAAAAACTTACATTAACAATGCCAGGAATTAAAAATCTACTGTCCAGTTTCAGTTAATACAATTAATTATTAAAAAATGACTCATATTGTCGACCACAAATGGATTAAGTTAAGTTCCTATTTATAAATTTAAGTGGACTAAACAATGAAATACATTTGTGATGAAAATGTTTTTTTAATTTTGTTGCATTAGTTTATTTTAAAGAAATAGTTCACCCAAAAATGAAAATTTGCTGAAAAT